AATTCGAGCGGCGCGAGTTATTGACGACAACCGCCGACGGGACGATACCTACTGCAACCGACGAGTGTTGACTCTTGTAATTTTGAATATACACTGCATTTCTTTTTTTTTTTGTACTTTGTAGGTTAACGATTGACTACGATCCCGCCTGATGGTAAGTGGTGATGAAGCCTTGGGTGGTATAGCGCATTAACCTCGTAACAGCCTATTCACTCTTGATATCGGCTTATTTTGCTTCATGGTGGCGCCATTTGTTAGATACTAGGTTTTAAGCTGGATTGATTTAGAAAACGAACATTTATATGTTTCAGGTGTAGATATTTTAATTTACAGAGTGATTAATATTTTTATGAAGAATTTTAAAGATAAATTACATAAAGTTAAAGGAAATCGAACGGTCGCGATCAAAGCTCTGATGGCGTGTAAATATCGTGTGACGTGTGAATCTCAGAAACGATCCTTAGTTCGAATTTAAATAAAAGTAGGCCAAAGTGAGTTGAAATCACCTCCGCCGCTAACCACTGGGCGATATCAGCAAATATCCATTCTACCCCTGAGTTATAGCCGCAAACAGACTCGGTCTGTGCCAATTACTTTTATAGACACATCTTGACGGATGCTATCAGAGCTAACTGTGCGAGTTTTCTTGGCTTTCCTATTCCAAACTAATATTTTAAGTATGCAAACAATGTTTTTTTTCTATTTTAATATATATTTTTTTTATTTTAAAGGCAAATCCATTTAAGGTACTGTCGCCTTATAAGACTCACTGTTTTAGGTCGCTAAAAGTGCTAAAAACCATCAGATACAGCTTCAGATTACATTATTTTGTCATTAAAGATCTGTTAGTGTGGGACTGTTGTTGACATATATGCTAATTGGTTTTTTAGCACTCAAGCGATTGAAAACAGTAGACCTTAGTTGGCGTTATGTTAACATTTATAAGAATGATATCTTTTTCTAAACGAAGTTAAAACATTTTGAATACTTAGATCTTCTCTACAAATACATCTAAAGTTTATTTGATCTATATTTTGAATTAAAATAATTTAATAAGTAACCCCGTTAAAGTAAAATAACGTCAACCTAAAAAAATATCAATAATTGCTTCTCCGAAAAGATATTTCCCGAGGAGACTAATTGCCTTGAGATTGCCAGTTAAAAAGGGCCAATAATAAAACGGGAGTTTCAATGGTTTCCCGATTGAAAATTAAAAACTATTCCTCAATAAATACGTCTGGATCACGATGATTTGTACAAGGTCCCGTATTTATTGGAAGTGGCTTATATATTGACTTGATATTATAACTAGATAAGCACAGTTTGTTTTAGTTTTATGTACTTTTATGGCGAATGTTTCATGAGGTAATAAAAGATTAAAGTACTGTAACGTAGCACACCGTTTATTTTGTCCTAAATTCCCCCATCAAAACTTTTTTGTCTCTGATATTTAAGATATATTCTTTATGATTATTCGCCTTTCGTAATTTGAAAATTCTGAGGAATAGAATATAATCTTTCTGAATGTTAATTTTATAACTAAAATTTTATTTTTTATTACTGCTTTTCTTTTTTCTTTTGGTAATCAGCAAAAGTTTAAATAAATATATTTATCTGTGTAATATCATTATAAATAATAGTTGTTTATAAAAAAATTCTGTGGTTTTCAAATTCTCTAAGAAATAAAATATCTGTAATATATGTGTGCCTTGGGTGGGGGCGCTGACAGCTGTGACACAGTTCATACTAAGACACTTATCAATATAATGTTCTAATTCAATAAAAACTAATCTATTTGTGCAAACCAAATAGAATAAGGGAATTTTATTAATATTATTATTATTAATTTGTGAAATTTCTTCCGACAGTAACACATTATTGTAAATTCATAAAATATTTTAAAATATTATGTAATAGACAGTGTAAAATAAGACTGAATTATTCGTCTAATTTGACTACCAATATTTAGACAGGAGCTGTTATAGTAGTACAAAGAAAATGATAAGAATTATTTAACCTAAACTAAATAAAGACTTTTTGGGATAGGATTTAGCTGCGCTAAGGCATTATGGAGCGATTAACGTCTAAGATGATTTTATTGAAAACGGTCACGCTAAAGTTACGCATACCAAGCAGTTCGGATCCCTCTCGTCACGCCACCGTCACGTAGTGTCATCGTAGTGTGAAAGTATTTGTCATTTTAAATAATGCGTAAACGTACAGAATTATCCCAAAATTCTGAGTAAGTTATATTGTGTAAATATGAATTGGCTTATTCCGCAGCGTAGCTAAAGGGATACCCAAATTTTTGAAAGGTTTACAAATTTTAGAATTTTATAGACATTCGTTCGGCCAATGCTGAACCGACAAAGGTCACGTTAGGGCGGATTAATATTTATGAAATTTATTCTAAAATATTAAAAATATATTGCATTTTAAGCTGATTGGATTTAATTGTAGATATTTGTTCACAAAAACAACACTGTAAATTATAATAGAGAACTGATATCAGTACATTGATTATTGGCAATTTTAAAATTAATCATTATAAGAAAGAGAATTTATTTCAATCTTTCTTTTGAACGTTTTCGTATGTCCTAATTACATGTAACCACGGAACTTGACGTTTACAAAACATCTGAATTTTTCACGAATTTAATTCTTATTACCTTTGTGTGTCGCCACTATCATCATCAGCCCTGTTACGTCCCCACTGCAGGGCTCAGACCTTCCTTATGAATGGTTAAGGACGATGGGCCATGACCCTCCACACTAGCCCATTGCCGATTGGATGATATTAACGACTGCAGTCGCATTCGGAACCAACGACTTAACGTGCCTTCCGAAGCGCGGTGTAGATCGAAATAATCATTTTTGAATCACCCATCCCGTGACCGACCCTTGCGAAAGTTGCTTAACAACAGAGTTCGCGTGCCGCTGTCCTTATCCACTATGCCACCGAGCTACTCGTCGTCACCAGTAGTATGAGAATTTTGGACTTAGTTAACATTTTATTTAATAGATCTTTTGTAATTTTTGTTATATATTATTTGATAATTTCTCGATAACAATAAAAACAATCCCGCATCGAATTTATGTAGATCAAACTTTATTTTGTAGGACTACTGTTTGTCACCAGACTGCGTTGATAATTATTACAAGGTACAGCTGTTTGTTTAGGGCTCGTTATTTGTCCGATAACTAAAACAGCTTGGGGCGACGTTACTTTAATGTGCCGCTAAATTGTATAGTAGCTTCTTTAAACAACTTACATCAGCTATTTATGAAATAAAATTGTAAATAGGTTTAAATTGTAAAAATTGTAACAGTGTGGTGTGAATAGGAGAAATGAAAGATAAAGCAGATTACAAAAAGGAAATAACATGAGACTTTTTAGTGTACACTCCATAAAATAAGTAATGCATCAACCAATATTTGCGAAACATTAATTGTCGGCATGTCACTTTCACATTCATTATTATAACAAAGAATATCGAGCCACCAACAGCGTGCCTTATCTGTGATCGCGAGCCTCATTATACCGATACTTATATTTTTAGCTCAGTATAATTTGTGCCACATTCGTTTTCGCAACATTAGAAACAGCCAAAAGAGTACCCGGAAAATACAGCATGTGCGCACATTAATCATAATCCAATTACTCCGCCTATGGGGAATTTAATAAATGGAAAATAACCTTTACAATCGACACATTCTGTAGTAAAATTCATAATAAATTTATTAGGGTATACGTTGAATTTTTTTACGTGAACCAACAGAATAAAAATACGGGAACCAGTCGTGTTTACGATTTGAGTAATTAGGGTTACGGTCCACTTAATTTATCGGCGCAAAACCTGACCTCGGCAAGCAAGGGTTTCTATAATAAAAGCCATACTCTTTTATACCCTTTATTCGCTAAGAGGATATTAATAAACGGATTCCTAGACGAATATTCCTTTTGAATGGGACAAAGCAGGGTAATTCGAAGGTATCTCGAGTGGTTTCGAGAGTTAATGCCATCCATTGCGGGTTGAAAAATAGGTCGTTTAAGAGTCACCGCAATGCCTTTATAGAGCAACTTCGCACATCCAATTCGGCGGGAGTGCGTAACAGCTATTTACGGGCAACCTCCGAGTGTCTTCTCTCCTACGGTGTACTTCACTACATAAATTACGTTTTAATGCTTTCCGTGTCATTTATGTCTCTTTTTATAAAAAAATCAATATTTATGGCGAATAAAACCCACATCATTGACTGTAGAGGCCTTTCACCAAGAAGCTTATCACGTGTATCTTCTTATCGCATGTCACAGTACGGGCTAGTAGATGGTTAGGCACCCGCCTAGGACCGTAGGTGCAGCTGGGACCAAAGGCTAAATTTACCGTATGTGCTACAGAGTTGCTCGAGATACTACTTTTCGCCTATCTGATAGACGTTGCTAGAGTTGTTAAACCACCGCATAAAATAAAATCCTTGTGAAATAAAATGTCTCACGAATTTTTCATTCCATTCCACAGTTATCAAGTGACCTACTTGTAAATCGGTCCTTAAAAGCTTATAAAAGTTAAAATTTAAATACCCCGCAAGAGATTGGGCGTGATGGTATAGATAGATAATATTTAAATTATGTGCAGAAACCTCCCCTTTTTAATTTTAATACAGTATATTTTCAGTAGCAAGCAAAATCTACAAATCACCGGTCATAATAAATTGAAAACCATTATCAGAATTTGCATAATCTGTTAACAAAACCTACATAGAATTAAGTTGTTTCGGTCCATTCAACATTCTTAACAAACAATGGTTAGAAATTAGTAAAACTAAGTTCCGTAGGCGTAATGACGCGTCGAGCATTCGCATGAAAATTGGATTTCCGTAGCATTGTGTAATGTAAGCGTTCGAGGAGTTTTGCAGCTCCGGTCATTACGGCCAGGGCAAGATGTGATGGAAGTGTTGCAGCCGCGCCGACGCGACTCGCTCGTACCGCTCGTAGCACAGTCGCGCGGCGCCCGCCGCATCACGAACACGTGCGCTGCTACGAGCCGCTACCGTAGACGGCCTCCGCTCGCCGCGCTCGCTCAGCTCAGTGCGTAGACAGGTGTGACGTGAAGTGTTCATACTGTGCTACAGTGATCTAAAATGCTAGTGTCCTCAAGTGAATAATATATCGGGGCTACCTCGGAGAGCCGGCACCGCTCGAGGTGGGTCATATAATATTTACTTACGCATAATTAATTTGTCGTTTAATGAGTTATTAAGACGAACCGGGGTTGCGTTTAATTTGATAAGTTTTCCCGCGTAAGCTCAGCAGTCAACACTGGATTAGACGAGCATTTAAACTGGTGGATTAGCGGGTCGGCCTCCTCGCCTCGACGACCATTTACGACCCGAGCACTTGACTTGGAATTATATTATTATGTTACCCGCAACTTTGTGTTCTACGCATGAATATGTAAGGCTGTAATCACCACAGTATAAAACTGAACAGAGTTGTCTGAACAACTGCCTAATTTGAACAAGCTTTGAAACTTATTTTTTATCCAAAGAAGTATGAGTAATTTAAGTTAGTTACTATTAATTTATAGCAATACTAATCTGTGATCAATTAACTTTTCAATTTCGAATATCGTAAGAATTAAGATACACGGAGATACTAGCAAATAAGTGGACATGTTGTAGGAAGGCAATAATTAATATCAATTAATGTCACATCTGGCAGGCTGGGTAGGATTAATTATGAGAATAGCTCGTTAAGTGACATACGTCGACATAACAGATTTCACTTCCAAACAAAGCTGTGATTAATCGAGTATGTAGTCAAAAAGATGGCGAACTTACATAATCATAGGGGTTCAAAATTTTAATTATTGTATTAAAATAAATAATACAGGACCACGTTTATCAAAAAAAAAAAAATTTTTTTCAGTCATATTAACATAAAATAGGAGAAATAATTTGTTGCGATTGAAGCTACACTTACAAATATTCCAATGAGTTTAAGACTTACGGAGATTTCGACTTCTAAAAATGCGAGACATAAACAAACGTAGAATATGATGAATATAAATACATAAAACAGGTGGGTGATAAAATTTTACCGTTCGTTACACATCCTGATGAAAAGGCGCGTCAGCAAAAAATATACGATCACTTATAGAAATGAGATCTTATGAATAAATTGAACTCATAACAATATTGCTTTGTCGGCAAATAATAACCTGTCGCGAGGATGAAGGAAGAGTCTCAGAGGATATTAATAAGGAAAAAGAGTGGATTACTTTAAACCCATCATCGGAATAAATTATCTCTTATAATATTTTTGGTTGGTTACTTATAAGGAATTACTTCATTCTACCTCTTTAGCATAACTTTATTCCGATATAGAATAAATAATTATTTATTATATATTGGAATAGAGTTATGCTAAAGATACTGGCAATATCATGGTATTCGTATTTTTCACTGTTATGTGATTTTTGTCTATGTGTCTATGTGATTTTTGTTTGTAATACCATTACCCATGGTAAGGGTTTGAGTAATAGTGGTAGATATTCCATCTTAGAAGAAAAAAGCTTTGGGTTTTTTCGGTACTTTGCAGATTTGCCGTATGATTTTAATCTCTATAGTCTCGAATTTTGATTACCGCTAACTGCCAGTGCGCTGACCGCGCGTAGCCTGTGAATTGAACGCTATGGCCAATCGTGCGACGGTGTTTTACTTGCTTCTCATCTTTTTCTACTCATTAATAAAATATATGACACGTAAATCAAATTCGTATATAAAAGATGTCTAAGGAAAGATATTGTTAAAAATATTTTTAAGTTTTATAAAATTAATAAGTCTCGTTACTGTTAGTTCGTTTTGGATTAATTGGAGTGCTAGTTGATAAAAAATAAACGTTACCAACGAAGGAGATAGTGGAAAAGTTTTATGCCTTGTCAGGAAGTCGGAAACGCGGTCGAAACATATAGCCCTCCTCAGAAGTTGTAACTGGCGAGCATTATACAAGTTTGTTGCAAATAAGCGTCGACAACTGCCTCGCTTTCAGGCACTTTATCATCGCGACTGATCTAATATTTCCGTTCTACTGAATCATTTTGGTCTTTCAATAATAACTTTTTAAGTTTATTAATTAAGTTGTAGACATTTTGTAAGATATTGCGTAGTTTCTAAACTGTAATATTTATGAAAAAGAATATTTAAAAGGTACGCACGGCGCCTGACTTTCATCTCTTAATTCATCATAGCTTAATTTGTTGTGAGTAACAAAGTTGTTTCAATAAAGCTACCTACTCCGCAGGGGATATGGCCTTATGATATAAATAGTACTAAATAAAAACTTAGCATATTATTTCTTCGTTTTAACAATGAAAACAAACTCGATCCCGCTCGCTAGCACTTGTGAATCCTAATGTTAAGCGTTTAAATCCAGGAAGCTGTTTAAAAAATATTTGATTAATGAAATCAGAACATGTCCTGCTAAATAGGGATGGTTGGTAATTCCGTGATAATCTTGAAATCCATGACCTGTATTAAATAGAAACAGCACGAAATTTAGTTTTTTTTTTATTCCTAACATTCTCTTCAATCTAGATGATTTTGGTAACGATACTGTTTCTATTTTATCAAGTTGTAGTGTTTTAAGTTATTTGTATATGTGAAGTTTGAAATCGTGTAAATGAAATAATAATGATTTATTATTACACAATGCATTGCTCAAATAGCTAAAGTTCTTATATTAAAGTGTATTTAAAATAACGAAGGTATCACAACATACGTTTGAATAAAAAAAAATACTTTATTGCACTCTAGAATTCACATGATAATTTCTACGTTTTGCTAGTACAATCTGTAGTGTTGATGCTAAAGAATAATATCTTATAGACAACCGCAAGTTAGGCTGGATAATTTCTTATAGAGATGGGTAGTAAACGCTACAAAAATAGTTGGAAAGTCTAACAACCTTTGGAGAGTTTCCTGTCAGTTCTCAGCACGAAGTTTCTCGCCGTAGATTTACGAGCCATTGGCTAGTCTCTCGAATTCCTCAAATACTGGCTAACAGCATAGACAAATGTCGTAAACATCATTATCCAAAAGAGTTTAGATATACAGTTAAAGTATTTAAAAACTTTTCTTTTTGGTATAAATATAAAAAGGGGGAAGAGTGAAGTACGTAATAAATGAATTGTGAGCTGTTGTTTCTTATTTTAGGTTTGATCGTTACGTTTTTATCGAGTTGGTACCTACATGTAGACCCTTTGTTTCTTCAGTTGATGACATGAGTTACGGACACTAGTTTAGGTGCTAAATATTTAAACGCATTACACCACTCACATAATTTGCTCATCACGTTTTTTTTGACCAAACATTAGCATTTGAAATTTTCCAAATACACTAAAAGACAAAATCTTTATTTCTATTGTCATGCCATTCAGGTGTTTGTAACAAAATGTGACTACCCACCGTTTTTAAAGTGCGTTCCCTTACTTTTAAATTATATTAATCGCCTGCTACAAGGTATTTCAAATTCCGTACTTGCACCAAACATTTCAAACGGTCAAAGAATTTGCTATGCGGCTTGCCAGTCGCGATTTTCTGGTCATCGACTTCTATTGTATACGAATCTAAAAATATTGATAAATCAGTAGGTCACATTTAAAATCAAATAGGTGAATTTTGACGGTTAAGCTAACCTAACCTAATGTGATGGTTACTGTACAAGCGGCGAATGATTATAAAACCCGGCAATTCGATAATTTTCTGAGTCAGTCCAGCGTAGCAACATTATGTTCTCTGCGGCTTCAGGCAACGTTGTGGCTGCAATACGTGGCTATTGTGCAATACAAAAATTCCATAAACATGCATAATATATATTTTGATTCGTCCAACCCACCACCAACCACCCGTTTTGGAGATTTAACCAGAGATTTGTTATCAGGCGTTATCAGTATCCTACAACTTTTTATTTTTTCCTTATTTACGTTTCTTTAATTAACATTGATCTGTATGAAGTATACATGTCTGTGCAAACAAAGGTAAAGGTCCGGAAACTACTTGCGACGTAGTGACGTCACACCAGTGGCACACCAGCTCCTCAGCTAACTAATACATGTTATTTTATTAGTACTTCGGCTAGATTCAAGATTGTATAGTGTCAGAAGGGCAACTCCTAGATCTCGACATCAGATAAGTGGCTATAAAGCGCTTTATGTGCTATAAAACTCGGCCGAGTCAGCGCTCGTGCTCCCCTGCAGATTGTTAGCCGCTAAAATGTTGAAAATTTTAAAACATCTCCCCCCATTTTATATTCTCTTACCGATTTAATTATTTTGTAAACTCGCCTTTCCGTTCAAAGACGCAAAGTGGAATTTTAAAATGGTTTTATGTTTTTCCTCCACCCGCACCGGGCAAACGTTTAGATCTAACGGTTTGTTTGCCTTTTATTTCATTTCGATATTTTTTCTTACAAATTGATGAATGTTCGATTTTTTTTACCAGACTTCTGTTTTTTATATTAAATGTTCCAATTGTTTGTTGTTCATTTGTACTTTCAATGTATTTAATTTTTCAATAAAAATTTAATAAGGTTATCTTACTTTAATAAAGTCACATATAAAACATTGAGATATCAGTAAAAATATATATGTAAAAAACAATAAGATTGTTTTATAATAATTAAAATTATATTTCCATTAGAATATTCATTCTTGATATATCATAGATTTATTTTATGCTTAGTCTATTTTAAACAAAGTCTATCTAAGTTATTGCATTATGTCAATGCTGAATAAATGCAATGTTTTTGAAGTGCCCAACAACTTAAGCAAATTAAATATGTTATACTTTGTACAAGTTCGAGCTCGTTATGGAGTCTGTAGTTAAAACAAGAGTTATATTCGCGCCCCAGTACAACACTCCTCACACCCATCAAATATTCAAGACACGCAGCCTTAGGACCATTACTCAGTTTGTCTCACTCCGACAAGACAGAATGAAGGAGACACAACACGCCCGATAAGATGCCTATAAAACCGGTTTATGCGAACTATAAAACCTAAGGACTACCGTCTTGTTGTTTGGGTCAGTCAGTTATACAAAGAAGTACAGCCAATCTTAATAAATTAATCTTTTATAACGAAACGAGGGATATTATACTAATTAAAGTATACATTTCATCAAACATTAATAATAGCGATTAAAG